ATTCACCAGGGTTCTATCCAGGGCTCCCACATAACAATCTCAAAACTAAAATTTAGCCCCTTTCACACACACTACGTTCTCTACAAATAACATGCTTGAAAGGCAGAAGGAATGTATCAAGCAACCTTCCTTTATTTCCTAATAATATTTATGACAAATAACCTAAAAGACATCCTCCAAGGAATGTTTCTTGTCACTTTATAGCTTGGAGTGTGTTTAAATGCCGTTCCCTGGCAGTTTTGAACGATGACTTTTAAGAAAGCTTTTATTACGTCGCGATATATAGCTGTGAGTGAAATTCAACTAGGCCTGCCTTTTACATGACTTATAATAATTCAGGATGTTATGAGTTTCTTTACACAAGCAGTGTCCAGAATTAAGGAGAGTTACCTTTTTGTATTTCATAATACATTAGTGGAAAACACTCATCTTTTACAACAAGAAATAATTACCAACCTGTGCTAAACTACACCACAAGGACACGATCAGCAAAATCCAGAATGTGAAAACATCTATAGGTCAAAAGATGCAGTTTCTTCAACAAATAAATTGCACAAGGGGGAAAATGGGCAGAATGAGAGGTTTTAAGCAATATATTAACAAAATGCAATGTGTAGTTCCTATTTGGATCAAGATTAGAACAACCAAATATACAATTTTTTTTTCAACGTAATCAGGGAGACTTGAACACTGACTATTTGATGATATGAAGGAATTAATGTTAATTATTTAAGGTATGATAATGTCGTTTGTTTCTAAGAAGGGTCATTTGTTATAAATGCATACTAAAATATTGACAGATGAAATTACACTATGCCTAAAATTCGTTTCAGATAATTCACTGTGTGGTAGCAGGAGGGAATGGGTGGCGGTGGGGCGATAGCCTGGTCATGAATTAATAACGTGTTAACTCTTGAACCCCCAGGTACATAAGGGCTCATTATATTAGTCTCTCTACTTTGTGTATGTTTAAAATTTATAATGAAAAGTTAAAACCAGTAAAGGAAGAGAAGGAAGGGAGGAAGGGAAGAAGGGAAGAGGTCATCTCAAGGGGACTGCTTTATGAAAAGAGACACATGTGGCACTTGAAAACGAAAGTAAATCAGAAACATGAATCTGAAAGCATTAACCATGAGTTCAACAGGTACTGACACCGTTAACATAATGACATCCCAATACTTATCTACCTTTGAAAAATAAGATTTTTTTCATTATTATAAAAATAAAATATGTATGTGGTTAAAGAAAGAGAGAGAGATCATTTCAAGTACAGATGAGAACACCCTGAAAATGAAGTCCCCCTCCTACTGGACTTCCAGTTTCTTTTCAGCCTATCTAGGACTTTTACATACTTCTTCTATTATACACATAATTGGCACATATATGTATATATATGTGTGTGTATATACATGTATATATAATTTTTAATGCAAATGGGAGCACACTGTAAATACTGTTTTGTACCTTGGTTTATTCATTGCACAGTCTTTTAGAAATCTTTATGTGTGAGCACGTATAATTCAATGTTATCTGTTTTAAAACTAACTGTTTTAGAGCAGTTTTAAATATACAGAAAAATTGTTCCAAGACAGTAGAGAATTCCCATGTATCCCATACCCAGTTTTCCCTATTATTACATCACGTCACATAGGCAGGGAGGAAAGGAGGAAGGAAGAACAAATTGAGTTTTGGGGATTGGGAAAGGGTCTTGTCTTGTCACTTCCCTTCGAAGTCCCCAGCATCGCAGGACACCAGGTGGAGGTGTTGCTTATGGGATATCCTTTGATGTTACTCACTGGTCCCAGCTCAGTCAGTTTCCAATCAGAAATCAATATTAAAACCATGCTTTCCTAGAGCAAGCCCAAAATGTTACCATCAATCAGTGTAAGTGTATCTTGAACACTTAAATGTTAAGCTTAGAGCCAACACGTCCAAAACAGCAGCACATCCTTCCCATCTCTCCCTGTAGGGCCCTGTGTGGCAGGGTCCTCACGGTGCCTGGAACCGTCCTGGGCCCACTTGGTTCTGCTCCACTCAAGGTATCTCCTGCCACGGAGTTGTAGATTTACTGTCACTCAAGTGTCAATAAATGCTAATTGCCATTATATCCAATACCAAGTATGTACATTTTGAAGGAGAAAAAACTCTTATACAAAAGGTATGAATCTCTAAAGGTAGAATTCAGCCATCATGATCCAGGAGAGTTGGGGAGACACACACACACACACACACACACACACACACACACACACAGAGAGAAAAGAGGTTTCAGCCCACCCTTCCAGTCACATCACATATGTAGGACTATCCCACTTACACCAAGCAAGCCCTGGGCAGAGACACAAACACAGTTCCTTGGAGGGGCCAGAATGTCAGACTCCATGAAAGAGTGTAAACTGCTTATTTACATATCACATAAGATGAGCTCAATGTGGCTGAAGCCAAGGGTCCTTAGTGACGCAGGAAGATCAACCTGTTCATTCCGGGTGTTAGAATATAAAGAGAACGAAAATGCCTGGCTCCACACAAGACGCCGTCTGAAACGCGTTTCCTGTCACAGCCACCTGCCTTTTCATTAGGGTTCCGGGTTCTGTCTCATTAAACAGAAGAGTTGATTCAGTTGGGTCCACCTAATTATTCTTATTAAAATATGTAACCATAATATTTTAATTGTAAATTAAAGCGGCATGCATGAATGAATCTGAATTCATTTTAATTTTACAATGGCCTGATGCCAAGGCCTTTTTACGGGGAAGATCCATCAGCACGGATACTGCTCTCGTGGGAATTCAAACCAATGTGCAAATGGAACATGTTTAGCTAACAAGGGAGCCTCTCCCTCCCTGTTCTCCTCTCTCTAGATTTATTGCGGTAATAAAGCTATTTTAACAAGAGAGACTGCAATCGACTCCCCACCCTACCCCCCCATCTTAAAAAAAAAATTTTTACCAAACTTCTAAACTGGCACTACCAGCTTAGGTAGAACCAAGATGTCAGTCCTGGGCCATTTGCATCTTGAACAAGGATGGTAACTGGGTGTCAATTCACATGTCAACCTTACGATTAATTAGCAATGTCTCCTGTGGGCACCAAGTGCAAAGGGCTTACACACACACTGCCCCCCTGGTCTAGATTCTAGAACAATCAGGGATATTGCATTCAGCCTTGATATATGCAGTTAGGTGGGACTTGAATTATTTTCCACTAAACCACCACCAGCCACTAGGATATTTAAAGGCTCAACCAAAACCTCCTCCACTTCTAACTGGCATTAACTACAGGGTGCTGATGGGGTAGCTGCTGAGATAAAAATATCTTGATAATTGAGGCTTTAGGAAAGCCCCTCCTTGACTTCTAAGCTGAGGCCTGAAAGATAAGGAGTCGTCAGCCTGTCAAGGTGGTGTGAAGGCTGGGGAGAGAGATTATTCCAGGCAGTGGGAAAAACCTCTGTGAAAGCCCAGGGGCCCAGGGCACACAGAGCAATCAAGTTTCCAGAATAAGGCGTGAGAAGGGCACTGGGTGGAGGGAGAAGCGGGAGGAGCCTGGGGAAAGAAGCAGGGTCGGATCACACAGGGCCTTGGAAACCACACTGAGGAGTGTGGACTTTGTTCTAAGAGCAACGTAAGAGAAACCAAGAAATTCTGGCCACACATAGAAAATGAATTGATATGTGATGGACAGTAGTATGTTACGGTACATCCAGAATCTGGTCTTGCTGTGCTTATTCCTTGCTGACAGAGACTCAAGTATATTTCTGGGCATTATACCCCTTTCTCAACTTAACGGCATTTTCCTTTTCAATTGAAGGACTTTCCAGTTTAAAACTGCTTAATGTTATATTATTATTATATAATTAGTTATAATAAAGGACTTGTAAGGTCAATATAATGCTTTCTTTATGCAGTTGGTTAAAGTCTGTGTCTAGTTTTTATTAACTGAAATGAACTTTAAAAATCGTGATTAAACCAGCCAAAAAAAAAAGCTTCTCATTGGAAAAACGTCTTTGTTGCTTTCATGGGGAGCTTTCTCCCCCCAAGAACAATTTTTAAAATGTGCCTCTGGAACAGTGCCGGCTGTCAGCACAGCTCCGCTCTCAGGCCAATACAGGTGTGTAGTGAAGCATTCAGCTTACCTGAAAGGAGGTCTATCCTCTGCCCTTGGCTTCTGGGAGGTGATCTCTAGGCCCCTGGAATGTCTTGCCTGACAAGAGTATCTTTGTTTGCCTGGGTTTGGCCACTGGACAGTCTAACAATGTGAATATGATGGAGGCTTAGGGCCACGCTGTATCAGCTGTGACCTCTGGAGGAACTAGAGGCTAAAGGTATTAGCCTGATCCCAGGAGGAGCGGACAAAAAGGTCGGCCATGCAGGCAGGATGAGCCCCAATAAAAACTCTGGACACCAAAGGCACAGGGGAGCTTCCCTGTGGAAATTATCACACACCGACTCCTTGTGGAGAGAATAAGCAGTAGCTCTGCATTTGGGCCCCTTCCCAACCTGGCCCTCTGCATCTCTCCCTTCAGCTGGTTCTAACTGGTATCCTTTCCCTGTAATAAACCATAACAGTGAGTATAACTGCTCTCAGTGAGTTCTGTGAGTCTTTCTTGTGAATTATCAAAACTGAAGATGGTCTGGGGAACCTCCAAATCTGAAATTGGTATCAGAAGTGAGGGCAGTGTGGAGGCTTGCAGTTTGGCCACCTTCACAGAGGAGGTATTTCCTGAAGCAAGCACCTTGGTCCCAGTACTGTTTAACACAGGGACAAGGAAGAAGCATGCCTGGCCTTCGTACTGGGTAGGGCCAAGAAGACTGCACGGATGCTGGGGAGTGGGGGTCAGGAGGTTCAGGAGGGCAGCTGCTTTGTTCTTTCATTAGCCCCCGTCTATGACGTCCTGTGGTATCTTGACTCTCCTCTACAGATTTATGGTCAGAGAATGAAGAACTAACCTGTAGTGAGTTAAAGGACGTGGATTATCTATTTGGGGATTTCTGATGACATACCTCTTTCTGCTGTTCTGGAAACATCTTCAACACAGGACACGATCGATCTGAAAAATAAGATACCAACACTCAGTGATTTGGAACCTCCATACAGGAGCAGATATGCCTCTCAGGGCCTCCCACCCAGATCCCCCCTGAGAGCCTGCCCTCCCACAGTCTCTGAAAAGTATACCTGTGCTTCTCCCCTAACCCTGTCTCCTGCTGACCCAACCAAGGGGAACATCGGTCCACCTGGGAATTGGGAGTTTAGGCTACGGCAAGGCCAAGACAGCCAGATGATGACCGGCCCTCAAACTGAAGGCCAGGCAGGGTCAGGCTGGAGTTGGAGCCTTGGGGAAATCAGAGGAGGCTGGAGATGTTGGGGAGCAGAGGGCCATGAGGGGCAGCAGGGGATGCTGGTTGGCAGTGAGGTGAAGAGAATGGAAAAGGTGCCCAGCGATCCACCACTGAGAACAGCCCTGACGGTTTCACCAGCAACCCAAGCTTTCAAGGGACAAGTCACTCCTGTGACATTTAAACTACTCCCGAGTTCAGATAAGAGATGGTGTGGCCCCAAGAGGGATGAAGATGGGAAACTTGATTCTGAGCCTCCAGTCAGTGCAGTCAGCCACTCGGCTGATTCCAGGCCCTGCATGTTCCTAAGACTGTCTATTGTTCCTTAAAACCCCACTTAGCTAGTTGGACTTAACACCTACTCCCTGCCAAAAAAAAAAAAAAAAAAAAAATGAATCCCCTCACTGTATGCACATGTATTTTACAACAGAAAGGTGGCTATGGCTGCACGGTCACGACTTGCCTTTATTTTGATAATGTAAGTCTGACCCCACTTTCCAGATAATTATTATCATCCACAAGTATTTCCTGAGTCTCCATGAACATCCCTGGCACTGTAGGGAATACGAGGAAGTACGTGGGTGCTTCCCACATGGTGGGTGTCGGGGAGGAGAACCCAGAGCAGGCAGAGGAAAGAGCTCCCGAAGGAGGTGAGCGAGCCGCACCGTGAGCAGTGGCTGTGCTGCCAACGGGAAGGAAGGTCCTTTCAGCCAGAGTGAGTGAGCGAGCAAGAGGACCCACAGGGGAATTTCAAGGTTCACGGAAAGAGGAGGAAGAGGTGTGACAGTGGCATACACAGAGGATGGGGGAAAAGCGTGATGGACAATCCAGAGATGGGGACCAGGCCGGTTCAGCTGAGGGAAAGGCTTCATGGGAGGTGGGAAGCTGCCAAAAAGGTAGGTCTGCATCCTAACCTCCGGAACCTGTGAAGGTGATCTTATTTGGAAAAGGTGTCTTTGCAGGTGGGTGGGCCCCAAATCCAATGACAAGTGTCCTTCTTATAAGAGACAGAAGAGAAGAAATCATCCACACACAGAGGAGAAGGCCATGTGAAGATGCAGGCAGAGACTGGAGTGATGCAGCCACAAGCCAAGGACACCTGCGGTCACCAGAAGCTGGAAGAACAAGAAAGCCTTCTCTCCTAGAGCCAACAGAGGCAGCACAGTCCTGCCAACACCTTGATTTCAAATTTCTGGCCTCAGGAATGGTGAAGAGAATAAATTTCTGTTGTTTTAAGCCACAAAGTTTGTGGTAATTTCTTATGGCAGCCACAGGAAACTAATACGGAGAGGCTCTCTGGGGATTAGACTAGAAAGGTAGGCTGGGGACGTAGCTGGGGAAGGGGGAATTCATTCATTCACTCACTCACTCACTCGGTATTTATGTGCCATGTGCTGGAGTAGGAGTGGGACACACAGTGGAGGGCAGAGCAGACTCAGAGCTTACGAGATGACTTCATAAATACAGTATAGAAATGATAGAAAGGAAGGGAAAGGACAGCCTCTTGAAAGAACGGAAAGACTAAATGGGGAAGTGGGGGAGTGTCGCCTGGGAAGGCTGTACTGAGAAAGTGGCACTTAAGCTGAGGCCTAAAGGGTGGTGTCATTTAGCCAGGAAGGCTATAGGAGAAAGGCATTTTAAGCAGAGGGACTAGCGTGTGCAAAGGGGCGGAGGCTGGAAGGAGGAGCAGCTCGAGAGTTCAGGTTATTGAAGGAATCCCTGCATCGGCTGAAGGCTAGGCCATGGGTGACATCCATCTTGGGATTCTGCCGAAACACTGATCGGGTGGGTCCTTGACCCCAAGCCTCCACCCCTTCCAGATCGTCCTGCCAACTCCCACCCCTCTTCCCCGCTCCTGCCCCAGCTCTTCACCCCCATTACAAAGCGTGTTGTGCAAGTCCCTGCTGGCATGAACCTCACTTGCATCATAATATTTGTATATTCTCCTTCTCCCAGTTGACTGAATGTCTCCAACAAAGCACATCTGCGTTTTCTTGTGTAAACTTCACAACCATTCTGTGAGGGAGATTTGAGTGTCCTCACTTTACAGGTAAGAAAACAGAAGGCTGGAGGGAGCAGGTTGCCCCAGGTCACACAGGGAGGGAGAGAGCTCAATTAGTCCAGAGTGAACTCAAGTCAGTCTGCTTCCCAGCCCAGGTCTTCCCATTGCCTGAGGCTGCCTCCATGACTGTGTGGCTGGACAAATGGTTCACATTTGGGGTCTTGAATTTAATTCTCCCCAAGGGACTTGAGCTTTTCACCCACCCCCACCCGAGGCAGGAGGATTCAACAGTTCTCACAGGGCATTGGCCACCTGAGATGCTAGAGACCAAGTCAAACTGTACAAATAGGAAGCTGAAAGTTTAAACTGGCTCCAAAACATCACAGAGAACACACAGTCAAGCTTTAATATTTTAAAGCTGGATAGAGGGATGGGGGTGGGGTTAGAGGGGAGAAGACTTTCATTTTCCACTCCAGCCACTTCCACATTGTTTGAATTTTTCCAGTGAACACAAATTAATTTTACACTTTTTCAGGTAACAATCATTTAAAAATAAACACAATAATTCTATCAGAAGTATTAAAAAAGAAATGACAGGCCCAAAATGGAGACACCTGTGCCAAAACTAAGACTTAATACCTAACCAAACTGCCATTACAACCTTCCCCAGGAATGTAATCCCAACTAGAAAACGTGAAAATTTCAAGTCAGCACCGATTAGGTCACTCTTTTGATCCCCCCAAAGGAAGATGAGGTAACTCCTTCTGTCCCCCATAGGGAGGTTACCTAAGCCAGAAATAATCTTTTTGTTTGTTTATGGCTTGCCTTGCCTTTGAAAACCTCTCCCTCTCTGCAGCCCTCTGGAGCTCCCCTCTACTTGCTAGATGGGATGCTGCCCAATTCATGAATCGTTCAATAATGTTAATTAGATCTTTAAATCTACTTGGTTGAATTTTTGTTATTCAACAGGAGAAATAATGACTCAAACATAAATTATGGAAGATTTTTACTTGGTTGAATTTTTGTTATTCAACAGAAGAAATAATGACTCAAACATAAATTATGGAAGACTTTTACTTCATTATGGAAGATTTTCCTATGCAGATTCAAACATAGGAAAAGATGCTAGCTTTGTAACTCAATAGAAAATGTCATCAGGTACTGGACCTTGCCATGGCATTTACTGATGGGGGGAAGGAAATTAAATGATAGCACCATAGAACGGTTTGAGAGAAAAGGTTAGATGTCTATAATTTAGCAAACAGAAGCCGCCAGTCAGAAACTGCCCCCTGATAAACTATGCCCTCCTGGTGGGTTGTAAAATTTTTCATTTGTTTAGATTTCCAAATTCCCCAGGCTAGCCCCTATGCCTGTCAAAATAATGGATATGGAGAATTCTTGCCTCACTGAAAGACTTACAGGAACCAGTGTGGAGATCTGACCCCAGCTAACCTTGAAACAGAAAGTAGAACGGTGGTTGCCAGGGCTGGAAGGAAGGGGAAATGGCGAGTTCTTGTTTAATGAGTATAGGGTTTCAGTTTTGCCAGATGAAAAAGGTCTGGAGACTTGTTACACAACAATGTGAATATACTCAACACTATTGAACTGTATGCTTAAAACAGGCAAAATGGTAAATTTTATGTTTCTTACCACAATTAAAAGTAACATTTTTTTTATAAAAAGGTCAATAATCTATTTCGAATGTTTAACCTTGCTGTAAGTGCAAATAAAAATGAGATGCCATATTTCTGTCTATCAAATTAGAATATTTCTTCAATGAAATCCATTGCTGGCAAGCATCACAGGAAATGAGACTGAATGCTGCTGGTAGGAATGTGAGCTATTTCAATATTTCTCAAAGACAATTTGGCCATATGTTTCAAAAGCATTTTTTGTTTATTTATTTATTTTGCAGTACGCGGGCCTCTCACTGTTGTGGCCTCTCCCGTTGCGGAGCACAGGCTCCGGATGCGCAGGCTCAGCGGCCATGGCTCACGGGCCCAGCCGCTCCGCAGCATGTGGGATCTTCCCGGACCCGGGCACGAACCCGTGTGCCCTGCATCGGCAGGCAGACTCTCAGCCACTGCGCCACCAGGGAAGCCCCGAAAGCATTTTAAAATTACTTATGTTCTTTGACTCAATTCTTCCACATCTGGAATCTCAATGTAAAAAAACTGGTCAGACATGTGCAAATAATTTTTATATGAATGTTCACAATGCAGTATTTTTCATTTAAAAAATCAAATAAAATAGAAACCTAAATGTCCATAAGTAGTACACTAGGAAAAGTGAATTATGGTAGGGCTGCATAAAAGACCACCTCGTAGCCATTCCAAATTATGTTACAGAAGAATACTAAATGATAGGGACTGTTCAAGAAGTATTAAGTGATCTTTTTACATATGTTTTTAGTTCTTTACTTATTTATTTAAGAACCGAAGCCTACATGTGACAAGTCAACAGTGGTCATTTCTGTTTTATTTCCTTCTTTTCTGTATTTTTCCAAAAGTTTACAATGCGTTTGTTAAAGTAATAAAACCATGATGATATCACTTATATTCAGAATCTTAAAAGATGATACAAACGAACTTATTTACAAAACAGAAATAGACTCACAGACATAGAAAGCAAACTTACAGTTACCAAAGCAGGGAGAGGGATAAATTGGGAATTTGGTATTAACAGATACACACTACTATATATGAAATAGGT